GGGCCAGAAACTGGCCTGGGCTCAAATAACGGAGGGGTAAGTCTACTCTTAACCTCATCCTGATATCTGTGGAAGCCTTTGCAGTCCTGTGCACTCCGGGGTCTCTCTGTGGATCAAGAACGTAGGTTTCGAAAAAGTCAGCATCTGTTTATCTTAGAGGTAAGTCTTCATGCCATGTACATGTCTCCCCTCAAGTTGTTGATCAGCTGAAATCATTGGGCTTTTGGTAGCCTAACAGTATAGTTTTATAAAGGCTGGTCATAATCTAATCATGTTGGTCTCAACCTTGACTTTAAAAAAAAAAAATACATGCTGGGTTGGCTTCCTGGGCATACGACCTGTGCAAACCTTGACTCAGAACAACGCTACGCTTGGCTTAACACTGTTGTTGCCATCTTAAAATTCTCAATGCTTTTTGAACAAGGGGCCCCTCGTTTTCCTTGTGCACTGTAGCTGGTCTGAAGTAGGGCCTAGGCTTGAATATTATTTACAGCTCCCCAGGGGGTTCTAATGCACGGCCAGCGCTGAGAACTGTTCATCTGGGCTGCCCGGTTACCATGCATGTGACGCGGTAACAAGGCTGCAAACATAATTAGGACTGAAATTTCCATTCTAATAAAGGTCAGACTATCTCCCAAGCAGAGTTTTCATTGACTGTGTAAACAGTCGGTGCCTGGGAGAAGTAGAGCGGGGAAGTACATGACCACAGTGTTGATTGGCCAAGTACCCTTGGAAAACTGCCATGACCTTTTTGGTCACTTGGATCTTTCCGTCTCTAAAATGAATAGGAAAACGCTTTCTCCAATTTCTTTCCAAACCATTTTGTGGAAAGAGATATTCAGGGAAGCGCGTTGAGCAAGAGCTGTACCCACTCCGCAGTCTGCTGTCACAGCACTGGTTTTACAGCCCTGGTGGTTTATTCAAAGACTGGAGTTCTCTCTAGGTGTCACATGGCAGACAAGGGAACATGGGGACTCTCATCAAGTCACCTGGAATGTGCTCAGCTGGTCTGAGGTTTTAAATGACTTCTTTACGGAGCCCTGGTGGTGCAGTGCTTAGGAACTCGGCTGCTAATGAAAAGGTCTGCAGTTTGAACCTACCAGCTGCTCCTTTGAAACGCGACGGGGCAGTTCTACTCTGCCCTGTAGGGTCACTATGAGTCGGAATGGACTCACTGGCAACTGGTTTGGTTTTGGTTTTTTATACTAACGTACAGAAGAAATACGGCCAGGACACTCCTTAGAAGGGAGGGTGGCGAGACTTCATCTCAGGTGCTTTGGACATGTTATCAGGAGCGACCCGTCCCTGGAGGGGGCATCCTGCTTGGTAAGGTAGAGGGTCAGCGAAAGAGAGGAAGCCTCTGAACAAGATGAATTGATACAGTGGCTGCA